TTCTAACGTTGGCCACCATCTTCAAACCTTAAGGCAACCTCTACAATTTTCAACTTCCATAACCACTGCTTCCCTTCCACCGATCCTCAATCTCTACAAACCTAGATCTTGATCGCACCAAATAGAGAGAAAAAGAAAGAGAAAGCGAAAGAGAACGTACTAGATCGATAGCCACCATTTCTCTCTCATTGGTCCTCAATCTTTGCAAACCTATACCCAAATCACACCATAAAGAGATAGCACCAGAAACTTGTTGGAAAAATAATGGTTTTTGGTGACTTTAATGCAATATTAAAGTGGGTGTCAAACCTCAATTGAGGTGGATTAAAGTGGATTTAGATTCTTTGTAATGTAATCTTTACACCACAAAAAGAATGACAAAAATCATAAAAATTTGAAAGAGAAATTGACTTATTAAGTTGGCCTCATGAAAGAGGTTTTGGGAAAGGCGTAAAACTTTGTATCCCACATTGATTGTAGATGAGAGCATTGATGGGTATTTAAATCCCATTTTTTTCCTAAAGGTATAAGCCCTTCGGGGCATCCAAATTTTCCGAAAGAATGGAGTTATGGATACTTCAAGAATGGATTTGGGCTAAGACTATGATCCAAGTTGGTTAGGCAAAAATTTCCATACACACGTGTGCCGCTAGCCCGAACTGGGCCTGGGCCTAGGCCGGGTCCAAGTCTGAGTCCATGATCCGTGGATCGTGGATCTTAGGACTTGGGACTTGGGTTTGGGCTTGGGCTTGCTGGAATGGATTGAGTGTGGGGGTTGGGCTTGGCCCACCCATCTTAATCTTTTTGGACTAAGCCAGATCTGTGGGCTGCAGATATATATATACACAAAACTTATGTGTATGCCTGGTAATTCCTCTATTGATGATGGATTTAAACCCATTAGTTTTGCAAGTTAATCCATAATTAAATCCTGCATTTGTTGTAGGGAAGCCTCTTCATCTCTCCCTCCATGTATATAAAAGGAGGCCCTCTCCTTCAGCTTTCTACACCAGAAATTGTTGCTCTTCCTGTCTTCATGAGTTTTCTAGTTTTATATTATTTTCTTCCTATGAGAGAGTGCTGCAAAGTTATATTCGCTGAAGCTACTCAGTCGATGCATTGCTGTAACTGGTCTAACCGTCGTATGTTGGGAGACAGACGTCGAACAACCTCTAGCACCAAACCGGTGAGGCAACGAGTCTATTTTAAGGAGACTGTCTAGTGCATGCTTTGGTTTGGTTCCTTTTGCTAGTTTATTTTATTATGAATTTCTATAAAAGGGTTGGCAATGGTTGGTGGTAGTAGAAGAGGTCGTTTGAAGGGGTCGTGGCAATGGTTGGTGGTAGTAGAGGAGGTCGTTTGAAGGGGTCGTTGTAAGGGAGAGAGAAAGGTTTTAGTAAGGGAAATGGGGGTCACCAATTGCGGAGGAGCTGGGAGTGAGATCGGAGTTGGCAACAATAGTTCTCAAGTATGGACGTTAGAGGGAATGGTGATGGGTGCTAAGATTTTTTTAGGTTTTGAGCTTAAAGAGAAAGAGAATGACAAATGTTAGGGATGAGAATAATAAAGGAATTATAAAAAATTATAAAATTTAAAAAATTTAAAAAATATAAGAAGTTAAATTGATAGTGCAAGTAGAATTTCCATGAAGGTTACTGCCTTGAATGGGTATAAAGTTGTATGACTTACTTTTGGAAATAGCTATAAACGTCATGAGGGAAGTACACAATACATTGATATTGTCACTGTTGATTTTCTATTTAACAATATTATCCACTTAGATAAGTGTTTCAAAAAGGGATTAGAGGCATTGGTCAGGTCTCATTTCGAAAATATGATTAGTTAATATTTTAATTTTAATTTTTTTTTTGGTTGAGATTATTACATTTCAGTGATATCATAGGGAATTTTTTTTTAAGGTGTCTGATATTAAGATTTTATAAAATAAAATATATATAATATTTTTATAATAGTTGGAATTCCTTAAAATTTTTATAGAAAAAATTCGACTCAGAAAAATTTGTGCCTAATTGAGAGAAATTTTGGTCCGACGGAGAGAAATTTCTACCTCGACACGGAGAAATTTCTCTGATTTCATAGAGAAATTTCAAAATTTCTTTGGTATGATCACATAAAATTTCATCGAGAGACCTTAGCTAATAAAAAAAAAATCTTAAATCTCTTCTACTACACAAAGTTGGAAAGAGATATTTTACTAATTTTTTCCAAAAAATTTATAAATTTAATTATTACTATTTATAAATTTTATCATTCATTTGTAATTATTTTTTCAACACCTCACTATTGTGATATTTTTCTTTTTAGCATGGGTAGATTATTCACACACAAAAGAAGGTGATTGATTTAATATTTATAATCATGTAATTATAGCGCATTTATCTTAAACAATGGATGATAAGTGTGATTTTAAAAATAATTTATTTGTTTTTTCTGAAAATAATATGGTAAAATTATGTGATTACAATTATCGAATCAATTTAATTTTGTTAATTTTTTTAATAGATTATGTACAAAGACACTTAAAAATGGATGTAACAATCCATGGTGGATTCACAGGCCCATACTAGACTGTACATGCCTTAAAGGCGATTGCTAGATTATTTTTGATGAAATTGTTGATGGAATTGTGAGGAATAAATTATACCATAAAATTAGATGGGACGAAGAATTAGATATATTATAGAATTATGGTTAGGATTATTAGGAAAAAATTATACCATAGGATAATAGATGAGATAAATGTATGTATATTTTATTCATATTTGATCTACCTTTTCTATTTCATTTTTTAAATCTCTTCTCAAACCTCACAATCAAACACAAATCAAATGTGCCCAAAGAGGACTGGGGAGAAAAGTTTGTTATTTTGAAAATATAATGTGTAGATCAAATTTATTTTAGTTATGACCAACACCATAATAAATTTAAATTTATACCATACATTTCATTTTTAAGTATTTAACTGTGTTAAAATAACAGACTTTTTTGGCCTTTTCAATTTTTTTTTAGAATTTTCAAAAAAAATTACTTTTTAAGTTTATCTACACGAAACAGACCAAAAAAACAAAAAATTTTGACATAACTTTCTAAAAAAGTCATGAAAATAAAAAAAAAATTAAAAAAAAAACTTTTTTATGACATCCCAAACACCCCATATATTGGGTAGAGAATTTATTATCAACCAATTTATGCATTATATTACAATTAGATGGGGGCCATAAATTCATAAAACTGAAGGATGAAATATCAAATTCTGATATTGGCGTTTGTAGAGGGGCAAGACTTGCATAGAGTTGACCGACTTGATGATGGGACTAAAGGCAGTGAATGGTACAAGTCCTTATCATGTAAGTTTTTCTAATATAAACGAAATGCTAAAAGGGAGAAAGTTGAATGAACGACCAGGCTTGTACATGGAATTGGGATCCTCTCCTTCATTTCGGTCCTTCATTCCCTCCTTGCAGGGCCTTCGGGCCCACTTTGAGGCCCAATTTTGATAATCCGAACCGTTCATATTTTTAGATTTATTCAGTATATCATACCTGTAAAAAATCAAGTTGATCGAATGTCATAAAGTATGTGTTTGGAAAACTGTTTATTAAAAAATAGTTTGTAGTCCCAATTTTCTGAACGCATACTTTCTGATATCCGATCAACTTGATTTTTTACAGGTATAATATACTGAATAAATCTAAAAATATGAATAGTTCGGATTATCAAAAATGGGCCTCAAAGTGGACCCGAAGGCCCCTGCAAGGAGGGAATGAAGGAGGGGGCTCAAGGAGGGGATCTGGACTCTTGTACATGACCCCAAAAAAATTGCTAGAGATTAAAAAATTAAGAGTTAATTACACTTTTTATTTTTATAATGTGATCTAAATTTTATTTAACCCATGTATTTCAAGTTCAGTTTTAATTTAATTCTTCTGTCTAAATTTTTATTAATTTTATCTATATGTACATCTTATAACATTGTTAATTTTAATATTTAATTTAAATAAAAAAATCAAATTGAAACTACACTTAGTATAGAGACCAAATTATTTAATTTAAAATTATATGAACTAAAATGAAATATATATTTAAAATTATAAGGACTAAAAGTTTAATAAACCCAAAAATTAACTACCGAAAAATATTTTTAATGTCACAAACTTCTTGATCCTTGATTTATGTGAAATTTATGTAGATTTTATGTGGGTTTCATTAAAATCTAAGATTTTAAAATGTGTTTGCGAGATTATCATCTCAATGATTCTACTAGTCACAATGAATAACTGTTTGCTTAATCTCAAGTCAAATCTACTATTTGACAAAACTATTCAATCAAAGCTGTTTTTCCCTTCAAAGCTTATTCAAGCGTCTTTGACACTGCTTTATAAACCAATTTATTTGGTCTTTTTAACCTAATAAATAAATAAAATCATTTTTATCATTTTTCAAGCAAACAAAAACTTTTTTTAAGAAAAAAATCATTTTATTTTCTAAAACAGGCCAAGAAAATAGAAAATAAAAGTTGACTTATCTTAGCTGCCCAAAAAAAAAAAAAAATGTTCTTTCTTTTGTTATTTTTATTATTATTTTTATACCCAAAAATAAAAATAAAAAACTAAAATCTAACAAAATAGATTATTTTAATTATTATAAAAATCAAAAAGTCATAAACGAGTCAAATAACTTATTTATTGGCATGGGTTGTAACAAAAGACAGGGCAAGCTATGATATGAATAACATCAATTCCAAATCATTCATATACATAACAAATAAAATATTTTTGACGTATTTCCAGTGGTGTTTTCGTCCTTATTTTTTTGAAAAATTTTACGCCTTATGTTTGTGCCCATGTCGATATCTATATCACTATCAGTGCTTCATAGGATAATTGGCATTACTAGTTCTACCAAGCTGCATCTATGGCAAAATCCCCAATAAACTTCAAATTTTCCCTGAGAAAAAGAAAGCAAAGGGAGAGGGAAAATGCAGAGTAATTTCAGTCATACATATTATAGCCATCACATTCTTACAACACACTTAAAACAATCTCAAACTTATAAAGAGGTATCATAGAGCCCCAAACTAGCATAATCTTGATCACCATCATAGTAAGCACTATAGTACTAATTAGACTCTTTCGAATCACTAAATCTCACAACCAAAGCAAACTTGCAACAAGCAAGCATAAATGTATGATATAGCAATCTTCAACACACTTCTCAATCGGTACAACAACGATACATATAGTACTTTTCCATGGGCCGACCACACTCTGCACATATGACCTTCTCAGGGATACCGCCATTTATCCCTGGCAAGATAAGGCGGTTGCAGTGTTGCGGGGTATGCAATTCTTTTAACTTTTGATTGAGTGCCGCCATAAAACCAATTCCCTTTGCATCATCCTTCCAAGTGTCAAATGTTGCTAAACATGTTAAAAAAAGGTCACCCATGGCACGGGCCATCTCACCCGATCCTTTACTCATTATAGCCCATCCTTGATCGCTCCCATTAAAGCTAAGCACGCTTAACACTCCTTGCATTATCAAATCATCTTCGATAGTCTTGCCATGTTGCATCTTGGAGTACAACATGCTCTCCAACCGCGCCCAGAAGAACCAAATGGACATGAGGTCTGGCCAATAGTGACTCAATTTTTCTGCATTGATGATTGCATTAAGCTTTCGCACTCGCTCCTTGGGGCTGCTCTTCCCCACGTAAACCATTTCTAGAACAATGCCTGCAGCCCCCGCAACTGCTTTTGCAATGGCACTAAATTTTCGAATCCATTCAATGTCCTCTCCTCCATACAAGCAAATGTATTTCTCTTGTGCAATCTGATAATTCCACAATAATATCAAGAAAATCAAACAAGGCTTGAATTAAGACAAGATTTAAAGATGTCACATTTTGAAGCCAATTCTAGAGAACTGATTAGGACAATTTTCTAAATAGCGGTTTGGGAAAATACTATGCGTGCAAATCTCTTGTGAATTTAAAATTTATTTATTTGGTTTGAGTAGGTAATAGAAATTGAAAATGAACACTTTGGTGCTTGCGTATGCATATTAGGAAGCAGAGTATCTACAAGTAAATGGGCCGAGTTGAATTGAACTTTGCAGGGTTCAATGTTGGTTCCTTTGTTTATCAAGCTCAAAAATCAAGCTCGCGCTTGGGTTGAAGCTCAATAATAAAGAAAAATTTTGGCTCAATAATCAAGCTTGTTCGGCTCATTAAATAATATTCTATATTAAACACACATATATCGTATTTTATAATATTAAATACATAAAATAATATATTTATCCTATTATGTAGATAAATAATAAATGGCCTGAGCCTTACAAGCCGAGCTTGTTCTAACTCAAGCTCGATTCATTTATTAAACGAGCCTAAAAATCGGACTCGGGCTCATTTATTTACTTAACGAACTAAGCCGAATTCACAAAGAGCTCGATTTATTTGCAGCCTGGCTTACAAAATTATGAGGACAGTATAGTTACCCAATTCATTATGCTTTCATCAATGGCATCCACCAATAGCTCAAGTCTCCAAGTCTCTTCCTTCCAAAGCAATTCTTCTCTCATGATAGTGAAAGGGTAGGCCAAATTCCCCCATATCCAAACCATATGATGCGCGTTTGGGCATGCAACCCTACCTTGTTGATCCAACACCACTAGAATGAGCTTCTTATCGAAATGCCAAAACTCCTTAATGTACTTGATGACTGCCGGTTCAAGCAACAAAGGGTGCAGCGTGTACCATGGCATCATCGATTGTAGTTGCTCAAACTTTTGCTGATTCGCATCATTCAAAGGCTTTGTTGACCTATCCATAATTGGAAGCCACACGATCTCATAATGAAGATCCGTCCTTGTCCGTGTGTCTTGGTGTAACAAGGAAAGATACATAATCTCGTCATGGGCGATGTCAAGATCTGATATGAGCAGCAACACAGTCTTTCTCTTTAGAACTTCTATACTAGCCTGTTTGAGAATATGTATATATGAATGAACTACTAAATTGGTGAAATGATGAGACAACCTAAAATTGGAGAGGAGGGTTTATGAAGAACTAACCTTTTTCTTGGTAGTTCCTTCCACAAGTGGCAATTGATCATCCTTAGAGTAAATCAATGCCTTAAGAATCCTCACATTGTCGACATGGGACATCTCGAAGAGGCGAATGAGCATCTGAAAAGTTTCTGCATGTCTCTTCTCATCTGCATCCCATTATTAAAAAAATTTTAATAACTTCAGAAAATGAATATCGTGGTAATTTTAGAGGTAATGTGAGTCTCACACACCTAATCTTCCATAGTAGTATGTTTAAATTTAATTCTTAGCATCTAGGATTCAACTGACGGCTCACCTATGTGATGATGACAAATCCCGAGCTGGTTCTTAAGGTGAACGTCTATGTTGCTGATCTTATGCGCCAAGCTCGAGAGCTCCCATGCTTCAGTGGCAGATGCGATGTGCCTGCAATTAGGGTAACAAAGTTGTTACTAATGTATGGTATAAAAGTAATTTGAGAATTTGGATTGAACACGCGTGCCATATGAGGCTTACTCGTAACTCATGCCTAAAAGGCTGGTAATCTGTGAGGCACAAGCCACCATGCTTCGGATGGTCCAGTATGTAGCAGTTGGAATATGAGTCAAGGCAGTAGACATAGGCGTTGCGTCAGGTGAAACATATTGCAAAGGAAGCTCCTTAAACTCAGCAATGCACTTGGTTACATCCAACAGAGCCTTGAAAAGGTTTTTAATTGCATCAAACCGGGATTTAAGGGTGCTAGAATGCTCTATGATGTCCGGTAATTGCTTAAGGAGAGCTACAGACTTGGCAAGCTGGTTAGAGGTAACTAGCTGAGTGACAAGCCAAAACTCTCCATAATTTACAGCAAAGGCTGCTAGGGAAATCACCACTTTCGCATCCCATGAGTAGATTGAAAGCATGTTTAGTATCGCCATTGTTGTTGCGTGTGCATCTGCTCCACTCGAGCACTTGCATGATAGCTGCCAGAACAAATTTATAGTCCTAATCAGGGTTTTAAATATCGGTTGTTACATAATGGGATTTTGGACTTATGAAATTGTTATATAAGAGCTTGTGGCAAAAATTGCATGTAAATGGAGGACTAATGTTTGCTTAGACTAACAATACAAGGAGTCTACTTGCTCAGAACAGAACATAGAAAGTTTCACAAATTGTCTCTCTTTTGTAAAACTTTGTGTGTTCTATTTCTATACACAATTGCTAACAATAAGCACTATGAAAAAGCTTTTGCTCACAAGAAACTATGGAAACACTAATATAAGCTAGTCTCACTACTGTCATTTTGAACTAGTCTAACTACTGTTATTTTGAAAAGGTGATGGAATCTTTCTTTTTCTTTTACTTGCACAAAAATAGAACACATACAGTTCACAAAACTCTCTCTTTTGTGAAACCTTTGTGTTCTATTTCCATACACAGTTGTTAGCAATAAGCACTATGAAAAGGCTCATACTGAAAAAGAAACAGTGAAAACACTAACATAAGCTAGCCTCACTACTGTCACTTTTTCCCCCCCATTACCACTAGTAATTATTAAGCAAGTTCAAAGGCACAATAGTTACACCTCGCACGAGACTTTATGCATAATGTAAGCCAATTCATCTAGGATGGCATCAAGTCCATCCACAGTGGTCCTTTCCTCCAATGCATCAGTGTGTCCATGCATGCCCTGCATAAAATTAACACACAATTGACCCCAATAGCGACAAATAGCAAGAAACTTGTAGAACATAATGTTTTGTTTTGAGAAGAAAGGAGAAGACTTGAACATACACCAGCAACGTCGGGAGTGACATGGTTCAGGATGTCCTCAATGACTTGGAGAATGGGCTTGGCATAGACATCACGCCCATCAGGCGAATGGGTTCCCTGAATTTGTTTCATCATGGCACTGTCATCGGACAATGACATCCGACGGTCATTCTTGGCCAGTTGCTGCATTGTGGGCTTGTTTTCCATTTTTGGGGGAATTAAGAAGGCAGGAGGGGGATGAAATGGGTTTTTGTGTGGTTTTGCAGTGGCTCAGGGTAAGCTATATATAAGGACGAAAAGTTGGAATAAGTTCTATAATTGAGTCATGTTATACCTTGCTTGCCAGAGGGTTTAAATTTTGTTAAATCCATGTTTGTCTGGTGGATAGAGATATCATAACATTGTCTTTACAGAATTTAAGAAGAGGTTCCCCAAAAGATTAATGTTATTGTTCCCCTAAGCCCTTTTTGAGGTCATTTGATTAACATTAACATGTTAAGTTGATAAAGCTACCAGAAGGGTAGGTTTGTGCTTTTTGTTGTCACAACAATACCATGCTCAGTCACTGCTCATGGATATGTTTGGTTTGTTTTCTACTTTTTTTGGGGGAAAAGAAGTAGAAAACTAGTTTGGCAAACTTTTTCTGAAACCCCATTGTTTAGAAATATCATATATTTATTTTTGAAAACCGTTATCACAAGTTTTTGAACTTTGTTATGACGGAACAAACGAAAACGAGAAAGTAAAAAGGAGGAATCACACAAGAATACAAACATATGAGTGGTTTGGCTAAAAGCCTACATCTACGGGCAAAAAACGATAAAGGGTTTAACTATCAAAAGAAGAGAAATTACAATGACCGACTGTTTCTATCAAAAGCCATTTTTGTAGCAAAACTTCTGTTTAATCTCATAACCCTAATCCTCAAAATAACTCATAATATATACTATGATTGAATGAAACAAGAATCAGGTCAGAACTAGTAAGCCCATTAATTGGGTCATGAGCATCGCCAACAGGTCATAAGCACAAATCGGATAAAATAACCTACAACAAACCTTTTATTATTTTGTTTCTGAAGAGACAAAAATGAAAATAGAAAAAATAAAATAAAAAATGCAAAAACAATACTGAATAGGTGTAGACTTAAAAGAAAACTTATTTTGCCTGCGTAGTTAAGAAATGCTCCTCCATGAAAGCAGCCTAGCTAGCTATATCTCAATCTTCATTCTAGCCATTAAACCTTGTTGTTATCACTGGTGATTTTAATTTTGATTTTGATTTTGATTTTGATGTTGATGTTGATTTATTTTTATTTTTTTGTGAAGGGTGATTTTCTTGAATGCTCTTTCTTACTTAGCTTTGGTTTGGTTCATTTCCTCTTTCATTTGCTTTTTGGGGTGTAAATTTTGTTAAAGCCATGTTTGCCTGGATAGAAATAAGAACATGGTGGCCCCATAATAACCATGTCTTTACAGAATTTAATGAGGGTTTTCCTTAAGGATTAATGTTAACATTAACATGTTCCCTTAGTTAATAAAGCTATCAGGACAGTTTGTGCTTTTTCTTTTTGTTTTTGATAAATTAATTTTCATTGAACAAAAACAACACAACAATAGCCAGAAACAAAAAGGAGGGCTAATATTAGTAGGGACAACATGATTGGATTAGGGAAGACAAAAAATATCAAACAAATCTCATTTACGATATTTTATTGGTCGGATGGTATCACCGTTGTAATTAATTTTTGTTCCCAAGTAGGGTCATGTTGAATCTATCTTGTAGAGTAAACTTTTCAATACTCGTAGTCATCCGTAAATTATGTCTATCAATTAAGACCAGACACAACACTAAAAAAAGTTAAAGACATTTGAACTCACATTCATCTCATCCATTTTATCTTCTTAAAGCATTTTAAACGAAATCTAATGCTTGTGGGATGCTGATGCACATCCCAGCAGCAATACTTCTGCATTTTTTGGTTTGTTCTTAAAACACTTCTAAAATTTTCGTAAGGTCATGTTTTAATCTTGGATTATAAGAATTTTTTGGGGGGGTTAAGGAAAAAGAGTAAAATGAATAAAGTATTAAGCTTATTTATTTATTTTATTTTATTTTTCACTTTCCTCTTCATTTTTATTTTTCTTCTACACATCCATAAACCAAGAGCAGTCTAAATAATTGACAAATCCAATGAGAAAATGACTAGACAAAGAAATGGAAGGCATAGAAGAAAAGGAAAAGAAGCTTATATCAGCATTTTAATTAGTAGATAATTAGTTAATTAAGCACTCGTGTTGGTGCATAAGCACTTATGTTCAAAGTGGTGGTATTTTGAAACATGGGATGCTTAAAATTGCATAAGCAATCTTACCTCAGCTACCCACATTTTGGAATGTTTGGTGATGAGTTTTGATGAAGTTTCTCACTTTGGACCACGACTGATGCCAACTTTCCATGAATATGAGAGAGAGAGAGAGAGAGAGAGAGAGAGAGAATAAACCAAGAGCAGTCTAAATAATTGACAAATCCAATGAGAAAATGACTAGACAAAGAAATGGAAGGCATAGAAGAAAAGGAAAAGAAGCTTATATCAGCATTATAATTAGTAGATAATTAGTTAATTAAGCACTCGTGTTGGTGCATAAGCACTTCTGTTCAAAGTGGTGGTATTTTGAAACATGGGATGCTTAAAATTGCATAAGCAATCTTACCTCAGCTACCCACATTTTCGAATGTTTGGTGATGAGTTTTGATGAAGTTTCTCACTTTGGACCACGACTGATGCCAACTTTCCATGAATATGAGAGAGAGAGAGAGAGAGAGAGAGAGAGAGAGATTGGCTCTTTTACTTTTGTAGTGAAAAGCAAAAAACTAATCAAAGTTGAGAAAGTACAAAAAGAAAATTCCAATTATCTTTAACCGTTAAATGGACTCCAATGTCTCAATTTGAACAAGGACGAATCATTAGATCTGCGGGAAAAAAAAATTGAAAATTTTTAAATTTATTGAAAGAGTTGTATCAAATTCTATGAAGACAGATAAACTAAAAAAGATTAGCAAGAGTTCATTCATGAAGTTATTGTGGTTTGCTATTATGAGAGCTTGGGTGGAAGTGCTCCATTAGCCCATATTTTACTACTATATGCCACCTATTGAACAACTCCTCTCTCGTACCTTTAAAGAGTAGACTACGGGTGTGTTTGATTGGACGGACTGGAAAAGGGGGGATTAGAATCCATCGGACTTGAATCCTGGGACTGTGAATCCCCCGGACTATTTGGTCGGATTGGATATGTATCCTGTGTTTGTTTTTTCATGGGATTAGATGTCTGAATAGGACTATTTTCAGTGAATCCAACGTTTGGTTGGACGGACTGGATAGGATAAATGAACAAAAGACTATTTTACCCTTTTTCAATTGTTTACTATGTAATAGCAATATTAAACATATCTTTAATATTTTAATTATTTTTAGTAAACATTAAACATACTAATGGTTAAATTTTGTTTAAAGATATTTAAACATACTAATATTGATAAAAAAATTTGACTGGTATAGATTATTTTTATAAAAAAAAAAAAAAAAAACCAATGAGAAAAAAGTTCTCACAATAAGACTAATCAACTTGTCTTCGAGTAAAATTACGAGCACTACATATAAGCAAATAGGTTTCAAAAAGAAAAATAAAAAATAAAATGAAAATAATAAGTAACTAAGTTCAGAAATTTTGGAGTAAATTAACAATTTATATATGCTACCAACTTGAGCAACAAATAAAGGTTTATATAATTAACTAACAAGTCTTTTCAAGAGCAATCAACCCATCTTGAAAAGAAAAGAAAAAAATTTAACTACCTTTACAAATTATGGACTAAAATTAACAATCTATGTATGTGACCAACTAGAGCAACCGACAAGTTTTTGTCTGCACGCAATGGAACTAACTGTCAAGTACGAGTCTTTCAAGAGCAATCAACTCATCGTGCATAGCATTAACCCAATCGGGATCAGTACATACATACTGCTTTGTAAGGCTAAGGCTCAAAATACGCATAGATGGAAGGCAGAAGGAAGGCGCAAAAAGAAGCAGAAAAGCAAGAATTAGTAAAACTGTAAAATGTACTTGATGACTATCTGCTACAATCATCCAAAATCACAACAAATTTCAGCAAGAAAGAAATAAACTAGTATGGTGTACTAGAATTCATCTCATTTCAAAAGCCACGCCTCGGTCTTTCCTCGGCAACATTTACTCTGATGGCCCTCCCACCCAAGTTCTGCAGCATCCCCCAATAAAAAGAGTTATAGATGCTCATGAAATGAATTCTGAAAACTTATTTCTAGTCCAACAAATTTAAAATTTTGAAACTGAGTCATTATGTTATTGTGTTAAATGCAAACCATAAGGAAGAACGGGATGGATTTGTAGTACCTTTCCATCAAGGCTGGCAATTGCATCATTTAATTCAGCCTCGGTTGACATAGTTACGAAACCAAAACCTCGTGAACGACCGGTTTCCCTATCAGAGACTACCCGAGCATCCACCACCTTTCCATGTTCGCTGAATAACTGTTCAAGGCGTGAACTATCCACATCCCATGGCAAGTTACCAACATAGATTCTATTGGTAGGTTCAAACACACGAGGTGGGCGTTCTGGCCGTGATCCTCTTGGAGCAGCCTTGTTTACAGTCAAAAGCCTTCCATTTAAATCCTGTTCAAAATACAAAATCAATTCTCAAACAAGAAGACAAATCTCAATCTCAATCTCAATCTCAATCTCAATCTCATTCATGGTCAGTTCTTTTAACTTTATCATACTCTAGACATTGCTTATTTTCAAGTACACACGAATGACGAATCTAATCAAAGATATCACCATCATATAGGATGCTGAGTTAAACATTCCCATAGTTGTGACAAGCAACCACTTTTTAAAGGTTTAGGTTCCCACAGTGGATGCATCGTACAAACTAAATAATTAGAATGAATCATTATTTGATCCAGTAGAATCTCAGATTGTGGTCCACTGGGGAGATTGATTGTAATGTTTTGAAGCATTGCAATGTCATTACTTCATGTGTGAAATCATCAATTTATCTCACTTTCAGCAAGCAGAGATTTCTTCAATAACTTGATCAGCTGACGAGAGGCAAGACTCTTATCAAAAACATTGTGCTTCAATTCAACCTTGGACAATTTTAAAGGTCACAAGCAATCATGTTTAATGCAAAAAAGGAATGTGAGTAAGGACATTACATGCCAAAATGTGTACGCTTGCAACATAGTGCAATCTTATAAGGGGGATTTGGCTTAATGTATCAAAGACAAGTACAAAAAGTTTTCCTTGAAAAGTCCAACACATACCATTATTATCAAAATATTAAACTTTAAAACAATAAAACTTTTGATGTAGATGTCGGTTTTTAATAAAATTAGTATTTTTAAAATTCTCTCATTAAGATCTATCAAATAAAATCCATGTTAACTATGAAATTCTTAAAATAAAAAAAATTAATACCGTCAAAATTGATGTAAACAATAATAGTAACATGTTACTCTGTTTGACAGTAACATGTTACTTTGGCAATATTGTCCAAGAAAAAAAAAAAGAATATATTTTACTTTGTCCTTACTCAATTATGTATTTTCTCTTTAGGGGGTTTATAAAGCAAAACAAATTAGACTATTCTTTTCACCAAACAAAGGCCCAATGAAAGGGTTTTGGCTAAATTTCTCATCTTATAAACTAGATGAAGGATGCTCAAAAAAGAAGAAATTACTCAATTTGGGGGGAAAAAATATGATAACATACACTTGAATAAATTTACTTGCAGTAGAAATACATTGGTCCTTACCATGGTTATTACTGATGTTTCCCACAATAAAAATATATTCATCCTTTTTTGCTGCTAGTAGGAAAGAAGGGTCTACGCCACAGTTCTCTTGGACTAAAACTAGCAACAATTTCTTTAATTGCCTAGTTATCATTGTAAAGTTTCTTACGATTTCCCTAGAAGCTCAAGCCTGAGAGCTTTTGACAACAAGCAACATGCATACATATTTTTGGCCCATAGAGCCCAATTAAAGCCCTCAATATGATATATCAATAAGCCCACTGTCAAAATAAAAATTGCCATACATCAACTAATCTCATCCTTGTGAATTTTTTCTCCAACTTCCTCAATCCTCAGGTATTAGGAGTAGCTATGACATGACTAGCAGTTGTTCTCCATATTAATGGACTAACACAATCATGCAATGATACATGACAGTCAAAATCATTCTCTAATTTGGACTTACCCTCTTCTTCTGTTTTCTTCTTTTTTTTCAAAAAACAAACAAGGATACAAATTACTATTATCCATCAAAATATAACAATGATCTAGAAATGTTATTAAATACTTATATATGTTGGCACAGGTTCTTTATAATCAAAATCTGTCAGAAGAAATGATAATGAAAGATCACTTATCTGATTCTACAATATTAACATAAAGTAGGACGGCAAATTAAGATTCAGGAAGAACATTTTGCCTATCTGGACATTGATTAGTCTTGCATGAAGGAAGCATCATATTTACATATACATGTGTATCTCTAATTTTATGGATCTCTTTTCCAAAGTTCCCCTCCTTTACCGTTCTCCGGAAAATTGGGGACACTGCAGCCCAAACTTCTCATTCCAAGACACCCCAATAATTTTTGTTAGCAAGCAATGAAGCAAAAATCACCATTCCATTATTAATTTACTGCAACAGAAAGGAACTCACCATGTCTTGTTGAACAATTAGAACACTATGTGATGTTAGGCATATCCTAGAATGGAGAATAACTATATTTTCTCAAGCTTCAATAGACTCAAAATGGACACAACCTCTTGGTGACCACTAAATTTCTTAAAGGTTAACAATGGTGATCACTGAATTATTGGATGTTTGCACCTTTCATTCTTGTTTGTTAGTTTGTTCGAGAAATATTGTTACTGCCCATCCTAGAAATCTTCCAAATAAGGAGTGTAAAAAAAATAAAAAGAAAAAGACAAAATTCACTTTCCCCTCTTTGTGGTTTGGGTCTAGAGCACTTTACCCCCTATAAGTTCAAATATAGGTAGAGAACCTGTAACAACCCAAAAATTTAAGGTGTCCTCTAAATTTTATATTAGTATTATGGCTGTTAAAATCCACTTCACCTCTCCACCTACTTCACCCACTTAAACCTACTCCACTAAACCTAACCCACTAAATCCACATACTCTCCACCTACTTCACCCACTTAAACCTACTCCACTAAACCTAACCCACTAAATCCACATACTCTCCACCTACTTCACCCACTTAAACCTACTCCACTAAACCTAACCCACTACACCACTACCATCTCACCTACTCCACTAAACCTAACCCACTACACCACTACCATCTCACCTACTCCACTAAACCTAACCCACTACACCACTACCATCTCACCTACTCCACTAAACCTAACCCACTACACCACTACCATCTCACCTACTCCACTAAACCTAACCCACTACACCACTACCATCTCACCTACTCCACTAAACCTAACCCACTACACCACTACCATCTCACCTACTCCACTAAACCTAACCCACTACACCACTACCATCTCACCTACTCCACTAAACCTAACCCACTACACCACTACCATCTCACCTACTCCACTAAACCTAACCCACTACACCACTACCATCTCACCTACTCCACTAAACCTAACCCACTACACCACTACCATCTCACCTACTCCACTAAACCTAACCCACTACACCACTACCATCTCACCTACTCCACTAAACCTAACCCACTACACCACTACCATCTCACCTACTCCACTAAACCTAACCCACTACACCACTACCATCTCACCTACTCCACTAAACCTAACCCACTACACCACTACCATCTCACCTACTCCACTAAACCTAACCCACTACACCACTACCATCTCACCTACTCCACTAAACCTAACCCACTACACCACTACCATCTCACCTACTCCACTAAACCTAACCCACTACACCACTACCATCTCACCTACTCCACTAAACCTAACCCACTACACCACTACCATCTCACCTACTCCACTAAACCTAACCCACTACACCACTACCATCTCACCTACTCCACTAAACCTAACCCACTACACCACTACCATCTCACCTACTCCACTAAACCTAACCCACTACACCACTACCATCTCACCTACTCCACTAAACCTAACCCACTACACCACTACCATCTCACCTACTCCACTAAACCTAACCCACTACACCACTACCATCTCACCTACTCCACTAAACCTAACCCACTACACCACTACCATCTCACCTACTCCACTAAACCTAACCCACTACACCACTACCATCTCACCTACTCCACTAAACCTAACCCACTACACCACTACCATCTCACCTACTCCACTAAACCTAACCCACTACACCACTACCATCTCACCTACTCCACTAAACCTAACCCACTACACCACTACCATCTCACCTACTCCACTAAACCTAACCCACTACACCACTACCATCTCACCTACTCCACTAAACCTAACCCACTACACCACTACCATCTCACCTACTCCACTAAACCTAACCCACTACACCACTACCATCTCACCTACTCCACTAAACCTAACCCACTACACCACTACCATCTCACCTACTCCACTAAACCTAACCCACTACACCACTACCACCTCACCTACTCTACTAAACCTAACCCACTACACCACTACCACCTCACCTACTCTACTAAACCTAACCCACTACACCACTACCACCTCACCTACTCTACTAAACCTAACCCACTACACCACTACCACCTCACCTACTCCACTAAACCTAACCCACTACACCACTACCACCTCCACTTCACCTACTCCTTACCTACTACACACTCACCCTCTTCTATATTTAGGAATCATGAATCATTGTAATAAATATAACAAATCAATATACAATCAATCAATAATACATAAATTTTTACATATTATTTAATTATAAATGAGAAAAACTCTAAATGTTTAATTAAATATTCCGTAAGAGTAAAATAAAATATAAAATGTTACGGGTGTATGAGATAAAGTGTAATTAAATTAGGAATTATTATTTGGGGTCAAATTAATAAAAATATGAAATTATAATACTAGATAGGCCAAATTAAAGTTAAAAATAATAAATAAATAAATATAAAAGTAAGAGTAGATAAATAATAATATTGATAACAACAACAACAACAACAACAATAATAATAATAATGGGTGTGGCAGTAAAATAAATAATTAATTTTCCGTTGATATACGATAGAGTGTAATTTAATTAGGGATTAATTTATTTATATAATTATATTAGAAAACTGGGTCAAAATGTAATTATTTTAAATATTTATTAAAGATAAGTATCAATCTATATAATTTATGATCGAATTTGTGGGAGGATTTGCGCTGATAACGTTCTTACCTCCCTATAAATAGGGAGGAGGTGATCTGTGTGGAAAGGAAAAGAAAGAACGGGAAAGAAAGAAAGAAAGAAAGAAAGGAAAAGGAAAAAAAGAGAGGAAGGAGAAGGGAAAGAAACGAAGAAAAGAAAGAAAAAATAATAGAAGTCGAGAGGATCTTTGATAGTGGAAAGAAAGAGTGAGCTATTAATATTAAAATGAGTTATATTATACCTTGAGTTACCATAATATATTTTACGTATGTTTTGACTTACCATATTTATTTTATACAAGTTATATTTTATAAATTAATATAAAGTATGTTAATATTTCAATTACGTGGATTAATTTCTGAACTCTATTTGTTAAAATAAAACTCATGGATATGTTTGATTATATTTTAAAGAATATTTGACAATAATCTTATAAACAATTATATTTTGTAAGTACCACCACGCATGCCTTCGAGGACTTAAATAACCATTGGCCTCTGTTTTGTCACTTTGTGACCCTCTGTCTGTCATGGATCCATTGACACTCTGATTTCTAGTGTGTAGCAACGCATTGTACGGAGCTAAGTGCTACACTATTGTGGGAGCCGCCTCTAGAGTTCGTAAGAGCCACCTCTTAAGTCCATGCATCTGTTCTATTCTGTACCGTACCGTGGTTATGGTTATTTATTTGCATAATCTCAGTTTTGCTACTTAGATAGTTATTTGTTCAGACTAAGTTATCTTAAATATTTTAGTTACATAACTATCCATGATTATTTTATACCCCTTATACTCTTGGTACAATATTTTTCACTCTGCCATATGCTTATAGCTATTTACCAATTTTCAAGAAATAATGCAATTCAGAAATAGCTTTTGGGAAGTCTTAGATGCGGGGCTGCGAAATAGACACACACGGCACTTTTATGGATATGTTTATATGTAAATATCGGCCTTTTGGTCAATAAATTTTGTTATAAAATAGAAGCTCCAATGATTATTTTGGTACCCTCACTTGAATATTTTTTCCGCTCGTGTTTATTAATTTGTTTATGAATAGCCGGAGGTAACCTCAATTACTGGCCATTACAATACTTAATCCTTGAGTACGGGGAGCAAGTCGTGACAGAACCCCATGTGGATCAGGGTTAAATTGCAACTCTAACTCTCTTAACAATAAGTGTGAAGTGACCTTAATACCCCTCTAATTCTCTGTTTTTTTTTTTCTTCTCTTATTTTTCCTTCTCTTTTCTATATTACACAAAATTTCTAACATTACCCAGAAGTAATTCAATTAAAATTTTAAAACCAGTGTAATTTAATGCTTGAATGTGGGCTAAGAAACACGGATACGGATACGGATACAAACACGGCAATTTCAAAAAAATGGGGGCATGGACACGGCAGAAACACGGCAATAAAATATATTTTCATATATATTTTTTTGCTATCTAGATTAATATTACATTAACAAACAATCAATATCAACAAAAACTAACTTTAATTCTTTTCTTTTTTTTTAAATTACTTTTAAATTAACACTTATAGTTTTTATCTTTTTTTTTAATGGATGATCCATTAAGTATTAAAATCTAAAAAAATAATAATAATAAACACTAAACATTCATTAAAAGCACTAAATAAAATGAAAAAAAAAGCAACTTGACATGTCCCTAGTGTCTCTCCGAAATGTCCCCTGAAAATAAATTAATTAAATAGAGCACACGTCACGTGGTGTGTCCCATACGTGTCTCCGAAGTGTCCGCGTGTCCCCGAAGTGTTTGTTTCTGACACAGATACGGAACTTATTTTGAACTATTGGTGCTTCATAGAATGTGGGTAAACACATCCAAATCATGTATATTCTGAAACTGTTTTCTAAAAAAAATTCAGAAACACCTAATATTTATTTTAATTTCTCTATTTTTAAATTAGACATACATACACACACACACACATATATATATACAATGGCAAAGTCAGGAAATTAAATCAGAAGGGACACTTATTAATTACAACTTTAATTTTTTTTCATAACCAACAATAAGAAGATAATAATAATTTTTGAATTAATATTAAGTACAAAAAATTAAATAAATTATTACAAAAGTATTTCACATAAAATTTTACAATTAACTTCAAGTAAAATCGAAAAGAAAGTATTGCGTATAACTATTGTATCATGAACAATTTAAAAAAGTCATATATTTAAGTCGTAAAATAAATTATATAAGTGAAAAGAAAGAGTGAGGTATTAAAGTTAAGGTGAGTTATATTATACCTTGAGTTACCATAATATATTTTACGTATGTTTTGACTTATCATATTTATTTTATACAAATTATGTTTTATAAATTAATATAAAGTAGGTTAATATTTCAATTACGTGGATTAATTTCTGAACTCTATTTGTTAAAATAAAATCCATGGATATATTAGTTTATATTTTAAAAAATATTTGACAATAACCTTATAAATAATTATGTTTTGTAAGTACCACCACGAGAGTCTCATGCTTTGGGGGACTTAAATAACCATTGACCTCTGTTTGGTCACTTTGTGACCCTCTATCTGTCATGGATCCATTGACACTCTGATTTCTGGTGTGGAGCAAAGTGTTGTACAGAGCTAAGTGTTGTACGGAGCTAAGTGCTACACTGTTGTGGGAGCCACCTCTAGAGTTCGTACGAGCCACCTCTTGAGTCCATGCATCTGTTTTGTTCTGTACCGTGGTTATGGTTATTTATTTGCATAATCTTAGTTTTGCTACTTAAATAGTTATTTGTTCAGATTAAGTTATCTTTAATATTTTAGTTACATAACTATCCATAGTTATTTTATGCCCCTTATACTCTTGGTATAATATTTCTCACTCTGCCATATGCTTATAGCTGTTTACCAATTTTCAAGAAACAATGCAATTCAGAAATAGTTTTTGGGAAGTCTTAGATGTGGGGCTGCGGAATAGACACATATGGCACTTTTATGGATATGTTTATATGTAAATATCGGCCTGTTGATCAATAAATTTTATTATAAAAATAGAAACTCCAATGATTATTTTGGTACCCTCACTTGAATATTTTTTCTGCTCGCGTTTATTAATTTGTTTATGAATTGGCCGGAGGTAACCTTAGTTACTAGTCATTACGATACTTAACCCTTATGTACGGGGAGCGAGTCGTGACAAAACCCCCTGTGGTTCAGGATTAAATTGCAACTCTAACTCTGTTAACAATAAGTGTGAAGTGACTTTAATACCCCTCTGATTCTCTGTTTTTTTTTCTTCTCTTATTTTTCCTTCTCTTTTCTATATTACACAAAATTTCTAACATTACCCAGAAGTAATTCAATTAAAATTTTAAAACCAGTGTAATTTAATGCTTGAATGTGGGCTAAGAAACACGGATACGGATACGGATGCAAACACGGCAATTTCAAGAAAATGGGGACATGGACACGACGAAAACACGGCAATAAAATATGTTTTCATATTTTTTTTTTTTGCTATCTAGATTAATATTACATTAACAAACAATCAATATCAACAAAAATTAACTTTAATTCTAATTTTTTTAAAAAAATTACTTTTAAATTAACACTTACAGTTTTTATCTTTTTTTTTTTAATGTATGATCCATTAAGTATTTAAATCTAAAAAATAATAATAATAAACACTCAACATTCATTAAAAGCACTAAATAAAATGAAAAAAAAGACAACTTGACATGTCCCTAGTGTCTCTCCGAAATGTCCCCTGAAAATAAATTAATTATATAGAGCACACGTCACGTGGTGTGTCCCATACGTGTCTCCGAAGTGTCCGCGTGTCCCAGAAGTGTTTGTGTGTCCGACACAGATACGGCACTTATTTTGAACTATCGGTGCTTCATAGAATGTGGGTAAACACATCCAAATCACGTATATTCTGAAACTGTTTTTTGAAAAAAATTCATAAACACCTAATATTTATTTTAATTTCCCTCTTTTTAAATTAGACAGACATACACACACACACACATATATATATATATATATATACAATGGCAAAGTCAGGAAATTAAATCAGAAGGGACCCTTATTAATTACAACTTTAAATTTTTTTTCATAACCAACAATAAGAAGATAATAATAATTTTTGAATTAATATTAAGTACAAAAAATTAAATAAATTGTTACAAAAGTATTTCACATAAAATTTTACAATTAACTTCAAGTAAAATCGAAAAGAAAGTATTGCGTATAACTAATGTATCATGGACAATGTAACAAAGTCATATACTTAAGTCGTAAAATAAATTATATAATGTTAAGATAAATCAAATTTTTACAAAATTTGAGTAAAAATTTCATATAATAGTGATATCACGTCATTATTGACATATGATATCACCAACCAATAATAAAGCAACATATGAAGGGTGAACTCCACATGCAAATATAACTAACACTCTAGTAATTTTTATATATATATAATGAGATTAATTATATTTACATATCAATAATGATAGATATTACATTTATATTGAGATTTTGTCACAAAATTTCCATACATAAAAATATAATTTGTTGTAGTCACTTCATTTTCAATAAAAATAATCACTATTATTTTCATAAATTTAAAACAAGTAAAAGCACTCTTTATTCACCCACTGATCAGAGACTCCCACTCCAACCTCTCCGCTGGCCATGTCTACCAAGACCGATAAACACCCATGACCGTGCTCAGGTATGGTTATGCAAAAGGGCGAGTATGCTCAGATATGGTCCAAGAGGTAAAAGAGAGGGTGACACAGTGACGACTCGCAAATATTTTCCTAGGTTATGCTACACTCTATAAGGTTTTTATTTTTTTTTTCATTTTCATGTCAATTATGTGCCCAGCTTTATCAGCCACATTTGGAATAGGGAAGATTTAAATTTACTATCTTTATCTTACAGAATTGTCTCAATCTATAAAAATCTTATGTACACTTAAATTTACGCATCCCGGCATTCATGGAAAATGTTGGATGGCTCCAGCAAACCCTAGGACTTGTAGGTGGTGTGTGCATGTCACATCATTATCTTGCACCTCCTTTGTGTGCTTAGCCATTTTTAAATGCCTGGTACAAGCATTATATATATTGCATTTTTGGATAAGTAATGGGATTTGAATCGTCACTTCTCAAGTTATCGTTGAAATTGAAAACTAATATATTTGAATTCCATTTGGATTTCATTTGGTACAAAATAAATGAATAGAACTTTACCTCTCTGCAATCTCAACAATACCCATAAGTCACACAAATTACAAACAAAACACACAAAGCTCAGATGAACACAACTTTACCTCTTCAATCTCAACAAAACACATAAATCTTAGTACAAATTACAACAACAAACACATACTCAGATGAACACAACTTTAACTCTGCAATCTCAACAATACCCATAAATAAATCATACAAAACACACAAGCTCAGATGAATAGAATTACCTCTCAATCTCAACAATACCCATAAATCACACAAATTACGACACACAAAGCTCAGATGAAGACAACTTTACCTCTTCAATCTCAACAAAACCCATAAATCATAGTACAAATTACAACAACATACACATGCTCAGATGAACACAACTTTACCTCGGCAATCTCAACAATACCCATAAATCATACCAATCAAAACAAAATACACAAGCTGAGACCCATAGAACTTTACCCAAACTGAACAACAACCATAAATCATACAAATTAAAACAAAATACACAAAATAAAATGAATAGAACTTTACCTCTGCAATCTCAACAACACCAGCCTGCTCAAAAAGCTGAGCCAATTTCTCACTATCAACCTCATAGTGCAAATTCCCAACAAAAATCTTTGCATCCTCGGACAGCTCCGGATACGACTCCTCTCCTTCTCCCTCCACAAACCCCTCTTCGCCGCCGCTCTCTCCGGCGTCTCCAACCACTTCCACTGCCCCTTCTTCATCTGTATCACCAACTTCTGGGTTTCCCCAACTGAACTCTTCTTCAGCAACGATTGTGGTGTCTTTGCCTTGTTGATCCCAATCTGAGGTTTGTGCAACGAAGGCGACTATAGAGGAAGAATGGGTCGTCTTGTTGAGGGATAAAGAAGAGGGTAGTGAAGAAGAGAAGGAGCATGAGAGATGGAGTTTGATGGGTTTGGAAGGGATTGAAAGATATGGGTATGAAGTTTTGCTACTGAAGATTGCTGGAAGTGAAATTAAGCACCCATTTGCCATAGGCAAGGGCTTGAATACAGCCTTTGTTATACAAGACATGAGAGAGAGAGAGAGAGAGAGAGAGAGAGACAGAGAGAGAGAGAGAGAAGAGAGGAGAGGGTTTAGGGACAGAAGAGAGTGAAGATAAGGAAGTTGAGAGAGAGAGAGAGAGAGAGAGAGAGACAGAGGGTTTATTGGGGGAGAGGAGAAGCGGCAGCAGATGGTCCAAAATGGCCTGCAAATATGGGTATGGGCCTATAATTTAATTGGGCAGGCCCATGTTGCGGAGAGAGATAGAGAGAATTAGGGTTAATGTGTTATTAATTATCTTTATATTAATTATGAATTCGTTAATCTCTACATATAATTTAGATTCTTATAGTCATGGATCTTATGAATAATATCTTAAATTTACTAAGATTTTACAATGATTATGATTTTAGTTATAAAATCGTGTAGAATCACATATCATCTTGATTATACTATGATTCTTATCATACTAATTTTTTTTTAATATTTATTCTTATAAATATGTATGTATATGAATATATCTATATAAAAAAAATGACTATAAACTCTTTTTTTCAAACTTCTTTTCTAATTTATATTAAAATAGAAGATGTATTATATCAAATTTATTATTTTTTTCTAAATCATTTTATAATTATGTAACATAAATTATCATTATTGATGATTTTTCATTTTATTTTGTATTGAAAATAAAATATTACGTTCATCGATCCCATTTTACAATCTGGTTCACATGTCCCTCTCAACTATCCCACTTAAGATTCCAACTTTAGCAACCTTAACTTTGTTCAAAAACTGTCTAATATCGAATGTTTAAATCATATTGTCAACAAAATTATGGACATTGTTAGATTAAAATTGGTTAAGACTATATAATTGTAGTTTTCACTCTCAAACATAGGAGTAGTTGTAATTAAGATATTTTTTATTTATCTTTTCAAAACTTGACAAGATTGAAGATGTTTACATACAATATTGGAAGCATTCTCCAATCTAATCTCAGCTATAATTGTATCTAGTACATGTGTTTTTTAATATTAGAAAATTGATCTAGAATGTCAGTTATGACTTTAGTTTTAGAGGCACCAAACAATATTCGAGCAATGTCTCTCCAAGTACTATTTCGATGTTCTGCAAAAAAAAATTTGAAAGTAGCACTTTAGCGGAATGAGGCACTCGACTTTGGTGCTCGTAAAAGTCCAAAGTGGTGCACTCAAATCTCATGTGAATTGCACTTGAGCCTATTAATAGATTTCTAAATTCAATTTTATGACTAGATTTATGTAAAGATAAAAATAAAATTAGTGTTTTTTAGTATTAAACAATACATAATTAAGTTATTTATTATAAGGAGCCCTATTCTCTCTAATGCCCTTACATTTAGAATAGTATCTCACTTGGCAATAAATGGTACACGCACGCGTTCATGAAAAAGTTTTGCTAACAATTGCTAAATAAGCATTCATTAATAATCAAATAATGCCAAACAAAATTAAAATTCTTATACACATTTCACATATTTTAATCCACTAATATATTTCTATACACTTACATATTTAGCTATAAACAACATATGTAAGATAGCTTACACATTGAAACTAAGCTGTTAACTTTTTTAGGTTCTACATTTTTCTTAATGTAGCTTATATGACCTTAGTAGACAACTTCTATCTCTTTCAAATTGCATTCTCCTTGAAGTTTTATTGTCAACAAACCGTCCTCAGCATTATAGATGAACTCCTCCTCCTTCATGTCCACCTTACAACATCTTGGTTTTGTGCTTGAATAGGCTCCAAAACGGCCACATCCTCTCCCTTTGATCTTTATTGAGAACCCTGTAGGAAGATTCACTGTGCAGTTCAGAGCCTCCAAGGCCCCTCCTGAGTTGTACATGTCAAGTAAACCGATTGGTGCGAAATGAAGGTTTTGATTGAAAACCTATTCACCCAATATTTATCCACTCCATGTTAGAGCAAATACCCCACCAAAAATATATATATGTGGAAGATAAGAAAAGGAGGATATAGTAGAAAATTTAAGCAAAATAACTAACTAACCTTAATTGGGGAGATGGCAAATATTTCACATTTTAGGACCTCCAATGACACTTCAAGGCTTTCTTTCTTTGAAACCCTAGAAATTGATCCTATCATAAGAGAGAGTTTAGATTAGTCTACCAGTTTCGTTGGTTGTGCATAATTAATCTAGAATGTATGTTTTGGAAAGCATCAAAAGCTTGTCAAATTATGGTGACAAAATCATGAGTTTACCCGAATTGAATGCATAAACTGCACAATCCCCGGTCCAATCTTCATCTATAACCTCTTCAAGAAATTCAACATCTTGGGGACTAACTCGGCCTGAAAGAGGTTTGGTTGTGGATGTGGATGTGGATGTGGATGTGGATGTTAAGATTGTCACATCTTGTGCAACCTCTTTCAATGGCCAACTTCCCACTCCTTGGCAATTGAAAACACCTACCACTCCCGACAACTTGTTCATATTCCATATCTTCAACAAACTGTAAAGACAATGAACAAAACAAAAAGAGAAATTTTAGGACTAGATATGGAGGTTAAACTGGATGCTTCTAAAAGTTTATCTTTACCTTTTTCTGTCCATGACAGGGTCCTGAAATAAACAATCTCTTGTTGGTCTGCCGGCATATCTAGCTCTTAGTACAGATCCATCAGGCAATACAAGTTTTTGCAAGATTTTAAAATCATGTTTGCCCGGCTTGTCACTGCAATGTTGTAAGATCCATGAAAATTTTCATTCCCACATCAATAAGAATAAAAGCATATCACAGGTTTTGCTGTGAGAATTTAAAAAATAAATCACATTTTTTTTTTTTTAAATCATGTGGCTCACCTTACATATACGGCACATCCACCTATTGCTCTTGCTGCACCATGGAAGTCAGCAGTGCTATGGTTGCTCTGAAATGAAGAAAAACAATTAGACCTTGCAATCTCTACTGTTTTGAGATATCAAAGTCTCAATAATCAATAAATAAATTAAACCCATTATTATTATGAATTTTTTTAATTATTTCATTGTGTATAGAGGAAAATTACATGAAACATGTCCCAATCAGGCACAACAATCTCCCCTAGAAGAAGACCATTAAAAGCCACAGAGGCGATATGTAGGGTCTGAAATGTCGGTTCATTTGGCATGAAATCCTCTGATGCTCTTGCAGTCGCGCTCTTCATTGAACTGTCGTTTCAAAAAAGAGACAATCACAAACTTTGTTGTTGGCAAAAATTTGTAAAAAGAATGTCAAAGGAAAGCAAGAGTACAAAAACCTGTAAATGGAGTCCGAGTTATGACACATGCTAGCAATCAAGTTATTGTCTTTGAAGTTTCTCGCAATGGATTCATCGAGTGCCTGTTGATACTTTCTGGCAATTGTGACTCGCCCGCCAAGCCCTGAACCTAAAGTCTCCAACAAGTTTTGGACATCGACTTTGACACCATCCACACCACTACTTGCAAGATAGCTATGGAGATCATTGTAGAAGTCATAAACCTTTTCAGGGTCAATAATCCCGACTCCATATTTCTCCAAACTGTCCACGACTACGTCTCTTATATTCCCTATGTTACCGGGTGATTGAACTGGATATGCAATCTTTGGATTGTACTTTTGCAATGGTTCAGATGAAGGAAGGAGCCCTCCCCAATAACCAGCTAAAGCATGCCACATGTAAACATATCTGTATCATTTAATATAGTTAGAAATTTTCTAAACAACCAGAAATAGATATCTTGTTAAATCATGAGATGCATTCGTACATGTCAGGCAGTTATTTTTTGTTTCCAAACTTCAAAATTCTCTAACTTTTGTTCTACACATCCATTTTTCAAAAAATATATATATTTGGAAATTATTCGAGGAGATCTATCAAATAAAATCTATAATCAACATAAATTTTTGAAGAAAAGAAATGATAAATTTTGAAGTAAAAACTGAGAAATTTCACAGTTTAAAAAGAAAAAGAAGAAGAAATTTCATAGTTTTTGTGCAGAAATTGTGAAAATGTTTGAAAGCTGAGAAATTGGTCGGTTTAAACTTAGAAATTATGTAGTTTTGTGTGTGAGAGATGGCCCTTACTTTAACCCATATTTTTCTTTAATGACTTCAACAAACTCTTTGAGATCAACGCATGAACTATCCGAGCCTGAGGCCTTAAACTTCTTGTTTTCTTTGATGTCTACTAATCTAGTTGCAAACCTGTAGATCAACAAATATGGCATATGAAATGATCAGGAAATGGATTCAAATGATTACCAGATTGATATTTTAGGATAGTATAAAACTTACTGTGTTCCTTCAATAAGTGGTTCGCCTTCCTTACGGAATTCATTGACTGTGTCTTGCCATCCATCATCGATGATCAAAACTTTTGGCGTACATCCGCCTTCCAAAAAACTGTAAAAGATCATCAAAATTCACCCAATTGTAAGTACAACTATAAAAAAAAATCAAGCATTTTGAACTCAAATATGTAAGATTTCCTATTTGTACCTATCAAGACCCTCTTTGATTCCTTTAGGATCGACTTCAGAGTAGAAAGCATCCCAAGTGCACCATCCAAACCAATCTAAATGTGCAGGTATCTGTGAATTGAGGCATTATGTATATATAAATTAGACAGTTTTTCAAATTGATCATCCAAACGTTTAATGATCTCAATTGTTACTTGTTAGTACCTTCTTGCTCTCAATGTGACTAAAAGTGCCCTTGTGTTTCTCCAGTATTCTACGCGAACACATAACCATTTTCCATGATTAGATTGGACAAAAACTAAACAGGTTTTCGTTTCCAGTTTCTTAAAAAACATGAAAACAAAAACAGAAAACAGGAAACAGAAGCGTTAACAAATGAGGCAAGCATACTTTACAGAGTCCTTGATGAGCTTAAATGGGTTGTCCCCTGAATTCATAAACACGGCTTCATATGATTGGGAAGTTTGAACGCTAGGATCGCCTAAAGCAAAGCAAGTTAAGGATCAGAAAACAAGAGACAAAATCAAGTTCCAACTATGCCATTGAATATGACTTCCAAAGAAAAGCAAACCAACCACTTTCAATGCAGAATTGGAGCTCATTGGAGGAAGTCCCTTGAAGACTTGTTCTAAATGGTCCATCCAAGGTAGGCAATAGCAGAATGTAAAATGTGTTTCCACTAGTCTCATCGCCGGGAATAGACTCTTCTCTTATTTCCAAGAGAAGCATTTGAGTTTCCATTGGGATTTCGCTGGCTGATCTTCCAACTCGCGGTATCATCCACCATATTTTGACTATGAAGAGACATAAGAATTTGTAGTCCCTGCAAACGGAAAATCCAAGATTTGATTGACACTGTTTGAAGAAGAAGAACGGTAAATTACACTGACCTCTCCAAAAGTTCGAATATCAGTAACCACTTAATCGGTCACACTTGTCCTAAAAAAATGGTCAATTTATTTTTTAAATAATACTTGCCATTCATTTTTTATTTTTTTTTAAATGTGCTCCAATCATAAGGTTACAATGTCTAATCAATCTGTTGTTTTTCAAGAATGATTTATCTAGTGGGATGTACCAGTTGAACAGTTTGAATCACCGGGCCTAATGTGGGATCGAATAATATTTTATCCACACAATTTCTTCCCCCATAATCCCCATGAATGAGGCGGCAAGCAAAAGTTCAAAAGTTGATCCACACTCCAATTGGTATAGAACTTGCATTATGTCTTGTCTTACCACCTCATTTGTGGGAATTATGGGAGAGAAAATTGTGTAGATGTAACATTACTGTTTGTTCGAAAATATAATAAACTAATAAAATATGATATATAAACGTAGTAGGTGTAACACTATTAAATCTCACAAAAGTCAATGGAACAGTAGATGTTGTTGATCAGCAATCAACACAGACAATATGATATATATATATATATATATATACTTACTGGTCAAGAACTCCAAGATTGAAAACATGGCGAGAACTGAGACTAGTTGAAGTTGCTCCGAGGAATGCGGCCGATCCACTGGTTGCCGGAGAAACAACAACGTTGGTCGGAACACCGGTGAGAACAACCTTCCCCCTCACCATGAGACAGCCATCTCTGACGATTGGCGCGGCGGTGATCGTCATCTTCCTCCTTCGCCTATGGTTTCTTAGGCCTTAGCTCAATTCAAGAAATTACAATCTCTCAAGAATGAATATCAAAAAAAAAATTATGAGCAAATTTTTTAGGTTGAATATGCAGACATATAATAACGTGAATTACTACACCAAACAAGGCCTCTTTTTATACCTGCTGGCTGGCTGGCTGCTTTGGCGAAAAAGCAAAGCGTGTGAATGAGTCATAATGACGTGGCTTTATTTTGGGGAAATAGTAACGTGTCGGTGTAATGGTTGAATTTTTTAAAAAGAAATTAATGATAAAATTTATAAATTTTCTTTTTTTTTAATCAAAAAATAGGGGACGGACAAATTTTATTCTTATTTAAATTATAGTAAAACCTAGCAAAAATGTTTTAGAGCTTTAAATTAAGAACTTTAATGGAGCTTTAGGTTTTTTTTCATTACCAAGTGTATAGAGCTCTATTTTTAGGGGATAAATCATTGTCCAAAACTTAATTAGTAATCATGTTTTATAAAAAAAAGCCCTAATTTATTTTTGAGATAAATTACAAATATACCATTGAGGTTTTGGTTAAAATACGATCTGTCACCTGTGATTTTGAAAATTATATCATAACAATTCCCCCTTCTATTAATAAATAATCAAATCAATTAACAATTTTTAATGATGTTAGAAATTTATTTCAATTAATAATTCGGATAATTTTATTCTTGTTAGGATAGTAATTAAGAATTTTATTGTTTTAATTAATTCTGTTAAATAAAAAATTTTGACAATTAAATATTTGTAATTTTTCAAACCACAGGGAGTAATTCATATTTTATGCAAACCTTAAGGGATGTATTATTAATTTACCCTTATTTTTTAAAATTCACTCATAATAATATGACATATTAATTAAGTTATATCTGATTGAATTTGTGATAAATCAAAAATTAATATTTGACACATTATATCATAATGAATAATCAAAAATTTATGAGGTGTCAATCAAGGCACAACAGTAAGCCAATTTAGACCATTTTTGTTCTAGAGTTTGTAGGTGAAGCAATCAAGATGAGTTTGGGGGTGTTTGGTGTAGCTTTTTTAAGCTAACTTATGGCTTCTGGCTTTTAAAAAGTTATTTTGGACTGTTTGGTTAAACTTATTTCAAACAGCTTCTGATTCTAACAACTTATTTTAAGTCAAAAAAGCTGATTCTGAGAAGCTGCTCACCCCTTGCTTCTGATTATCAGCTTCTGCTGTGGACATGTTAATTCACGGTTATACTCTTAGATTTTTTTATTTTTTATTTTTTTAAAAATAGAAAAAGACTCAAATGGACTATTAAATATTATTATTATTTTTTATGAAAAATGTAGACAAATAGTGAATAATAAAAAATAAAAATTAATTGAAAAAGCTACTTCACAGCTTATTTAACAAACACTACTCAGCAACTTAAATCTATAATCCAACAGCTATACCAAACAGATTAACCGCTTCTGATTAAAGTCATAATTTATAATCTGTTAAGCTATAATCCATAATCTGTTTTAATAGCTACACCAAACACCACCTTTGTGATATGGGACCCTATCTGAGTAGGATTGACAAGGATGTTTCTTCATTATCTTTTATTTTTTATTTTTTTATTTTTAACAAGCAACTATCCAAAGGTAAATCAAATTTTAGCATTCGATCGGAGAAAATATAGCAAGTTTCATAATTTGAATATAATTATATTAATTTCTTTTTAGTAAAATTAAAAAAATTGAAATTAATATAAATAGTGTGAATACACAAAGATGAACACGGTAAAAATATATATTTTAATGTAAAAAATATAATAATATCATTTTTTTCATTCATATAATTAATGAATTAAGGATGAAAAAAATGAGTTAAGTATTATATAAATAAATTAAAATATTAAAAGAACTTAATGTAAGTATGGTAAATTTGTAAAACTTGTATTTTTTTGAACTTTAGAAAAAGTCAATGTAGTTTATCCAAAAAGTGTATTTTCATTTCAAAACATTAGGTTTCACTATTTTACAATAATCAAAATGTATGTATTTTTTACATATTCAAAAAGTGTGTCAACAAAATTAAGGGATTATTTGGGATGTCCTAAATAAGTATATTTTTTAACTTTTTGAACTAAAAATTAGAAGAAAAAAATATGATTGTTTGGGATAATTTTTGACTTTTTATGAAAAAATGTGTATTAAAATATTATATAAAATAACAAAATTACGAAATTACCCTCCCTGACAGTCAACATTAATGCGCTGACTTTCTATTTCTTTTCAATTTTTTTATTTTTTAATGAGAATGTGTGGCTTCAAGTGTGCCACGTTTTCTTTTTGACTTGGGAAGTTGTGGCTGCACAGTTTTGTGGCAGCATTGTTTTTTGTTTGTTTGTTTGTTTTTTTTATTTATTTTCTTCTTCTTGACTTAGAAAACATTACCTAAATAAAGGTAAATAGCATGAACTTTTTTAATTTTTTAATGACTTTTTGACTTTTTAAATTTTTAAATTTTATAGGTGATGCCAAACCAGCCATAAGTTTCGAGTAAATCAGTGTGAGAACATTGTTTTAGTGAATTGGCTCACTAATCCTCAAAAAAAAAAAGAATTGGCTCACTAGGTTTCATTTGGATTAAGAGTTTGAGAAGGAATTTGCATGAAGAAAAAATAATAATAATAATAAGTGTGTTTGGTTTGAATTTTTTGGATTAAGTTTTTTGAATATTAAGTTTTTTAGTTTTTGTATTTTTTTTTTGTTTTTAGTGAATATTTTTAAAATTTTAAATATTTTTTTTACTTTTTTAAATACACCTTACTTAGATGTATCTAAAAAGTAAAAATTTATAAAAAAAAATATTTTAAAAAATTAATAAATATATAAAAATACAAAAAAAATGTATTGAATTCTCTCTTTTTTTTTTAATATATTTTTGGTATTTAGTGAATTTTTAAAAGATTTTTTTTCATAATTTTTTTACTTTTTAGATATATTTATGTTAGGTATATCTAAAAAGTAAAAAAAAATTTACTTAAAATATTAAAAAAAATTAGTAAAAACAAAAAAATACAAAAAATAATAATAAAAAAATTCTGAAAAATATTTTTAAAAAAATGAAACCCATAATTTTTGTCATATTTTTCTATTTCTTTTCAGGAATAGCTCCTCTCTATATCATTATCCTCCATACTATATAGGCCCATAAAATATTAAACATGAAGGATATATATAGAGGAACATGGAGGATAGTGATAGGAAGGAAACAGTTCCCTATTTTTTCCTATCCGTTCACAAATTTTCCTAGAAGGTAATTGACATGGGTAAGGCCATAGCCCACTATGAACAACCCAAGCCCATCACTTGGAGCCCAATACATAACCCAGTTGCTGAAGTCCAGAACAGCTGGAATACAACGTAGCACAAAGAGCCAATGACATTCAGACATACGGCAGGTAAAGGACAAGCCACATCAACAGACAAAGATCTGCAAAGTTATTGCCACTACACATCACCATTAATGCAGCCCATCACAGCATTTATTACGACAACACATCTCCGTCAGAACAGCACCCCCTTACCCTGAACAAGGTAAGTTACAGCATAGACTTTCAGCCAAGATGGCAGGTCGGAAGGGACAACGAAATGATGACCAAATGATATAAGCAAACGTTGAAGACAAGAAGAAGGTTAAGTTTTCTATCTCCAATTCATCTCTCTACATTTCACTTCTCTCTCTCTCTCTCTCTAACTTGCTCGTCGGAGGGTTCGCTGGGGGACTCCCCGTTCCCCATTGAACTCCTGTACAGGTTTTCTGGTGGGCTTGAACACTCAATTACCGGTTGAAGAAGCGTAGATTAGTCCTACCCATTCCACCTGGGACCCGTTGTGTAGTAATTGTATCATTAGTTGGCACCATCTGTGGGAACACTTTGCTCCTCGCGCCAGTTGTGTTCACTGTCGCCGGAGACCCTGTTCCAATACCCCTTTCTCGCTACCCATCGAAGTGTATGGTCATGACTAGATCCATGGCTTCTCACCAAAATGCTGCCGACTACCAAGCCGACCCACCCAATCCAAACAACCCACCACAATATTTCATCGAGCTTACTAACAGCATTAACCGCATGGCCGAGCAAAACCAAGCCCTGATCAATGCCCTACTCCAAAGAAACCTTCCTATGCCCCCTCCACCACCTCTCGATATTTCCCTTAACTACGAACAAGCCCCGAGCCATGAGCCATACTATTCCGCAGCCTAGTCCACCCAACAGAGAAGGCTTGCAACCCCCTTCTCTAGGTATAAACCTACCACCCCGGGATCCACAACCATCGATCCCGCCACCAATCCTTGAAGGAGAGGCTAGCAGCGTCCAGTCCCCGTTGCCCTCTGGAGGTGACCACATCCCTCTCTAGGACGCGGAACTCCGAGCCATGAAGCTCCAACTCCAAGGGGTCATGCAGAACATCCAGCATAAACCCTCTACCACAGCAAACTCACCATTTGTCGCCTCCATCCACGACAAACCTCTACCCCCCAAGTTCAAGATGCCTACCATCGACTCTTTTGACGGTACGACGGACCCAGTCGACCATCTGAAGACCTACAGAACCCTCATGATCCTCCATGCATTCCCTGACGAGATCATGTGTCAAGCTTTTCCCGTGACACTGAAGGGGTCAACTCGGCTGTGGTTTAGCCAGTTACCAGCAGACTCCGTCTCCACTTTCCAGCATCTCAGTGACTCCTTCCTCAGCCATTTTATTGGAGCCCAGCGCCAGCGACACCCGGCAACCCAACTCCTCAACATTCGACAGACTGAGGGGGAGTCGCTACGTAGTTTTGTTACCCGTTTCAACACCGAGGCCCTGCAAGTAACGGAAAATGATGACAAGGTCATCCTCACTGCTTTCATGGCCGGTCTGCGGTCGTCCGATTTCCTGTTCTCACTCTCTAAAAACCCCCCGACTTCCATGGCAGCACTACTCTTCAAAGCCCAAAAATACATGAATGCTGAAGATTCCCTAGCCGCCCAGCAAGATCCCATAACCAAAAACCCGGCCCCTAGAGAAAAGAGAAAAGACTCAGAACCCAGAAACACCCAATATAACAGCCAAACACCATATTATACCGACCGG